AAAGTTTCACTCGTTGCGTGACTTCCTGTGTTATTTCTGATTATGCCATCATATATTATGGTGTAGTATACACAGGGTGGGTTATGGCAAGTTGAATATTGAGAAGTGATATTTACAGGGCAGGTTTGTGCAGGTTGAATGCTGAATAGCAAAAATCAAGCTTGCAACAATTCATTCTCACTTCTCAGTTAGTCATTGTTTATTTATGAGAAAATGGCTCTCCACAGTTTCTTTTCTTAAGGGCTAATGCTTAGTTTACCTTACAACCTCCAGATTTCTAATTTGTTCTGGTTGGGTGGTTGGAGAAAGTGTGTATGGAAATAGGCTAGGTTTTTATGTACATGTTTTTGTCCAGACCAGATTACTTATATATATATATATATATATATATATATATATAAATATATATATTTTCAGGTAATTTCCAGTGTTTATACATGTCCAAGTGGATCCTAATAATATAAAATATTAAAACTGATCCACAAAAAGCTCAATGTATTTATTATAACATCGAATATATTTTTATTTTTAAAGAGAATTAAAAAAATTTGATCCATGAGGTAATTTAAGATTTCTCTTGTTTGAATATATATATATATATATATATATATATATATATATATATATATATAAAATAAATAGAATTATTTAAATAAAACAATCAATTTGTTGACTATAAAAAAAAATAAAAATTTGATCAGTACAAAAAATATTTATTAAATATTAATTTTTAACCACAAGACAAAAATGAAGTATGGAAATTAAGATTTTAAGTCCAGAATTTCCAGGCATGCATGTCTTTCATCAGCGGTGCAAGAATTAAACAGAGAAACAGGGAAGACTTGCCAACTGTTGTCCTTGTGGCTGGTATGACTGCTTGTGTAGATGGTATTATTAGTAAAAATCCAATTTCTGTTTGATTTATCACTGTGCAAAACTTCTTGTCAAAAAAAAAAAAAAAATCATTACATATATGTAAATAATACCAATTAGTCATTGGTAGGGAAGAGATGAATATATAAATATATTCATGAAATAAATTATAACCAAAATGGACTTTTAAGGATTTTCTTGACTTATATATAT